AAGAACTTTCGTCTCCTTTTTTTTTTTATTATTATTGTTAAAATGTAAATATGCTTTTTATTTATTTTTATCTAATTTAATTCTTTTTTTTATTATTAATATTATTTATTTTAATTTACTTTTTTCTGCAAAATGATATAACACAAACAGCATAATATAGCACAAACAGCATATTAATCATCTAAATGCATCAATCATACAATTTCTTCTCCCCTCTCAAGGAACACAAAATCTCACCAAAATCAAAACCTAATCTACCTGCCAAAGCAAACCAGCAAAGAAGAGCAACACGATATTTAACAACCTCTTTTGTGGCTGATTATTTGGCAACCCCTTTTTGTGGTTGAGTTATGAAACCATGCAGGTGAAATCTGGAGTCATGATGAGAGGAGAAATTGATGGTGAGATCAAAGAGATTGATGGCGAGATCAAAGAGATTGATGGCGTGGGTAAAATTGCGGGGGTGATGTGATTTTGATTATGTTTTTACTAGTTTTACTTGAGACACATCAATGGATTTAATAAATATATTGCAAAATGATGGGAATTAGGGCTTGATATTGTTCGGTTGATAGGGAGGACCTTTTTAAATTCGCTTATTAAACTGAATTTCCCAGATAATCCTTCCATTTTTTAGCTCGCAGGAACAAAGATACTACATACCCTTTTCTTCTTCTTCTTCTTCTTCTTCTTTTTTTTTTAAAAAAACCTAATCATGAATTCTGCATCATCTATAATAAACTTGAGATCAATTCTTTCAAACCTGGTGATATTAGAGGGTGAATGATGTCACCAAGTTTCGCTCTTGTTTTTGGAAATGTGGTCTAAACGAAGTTTGTTAAAATTCAATTTTTCATTTAAAATTTATTTTTTTATTTTGAATTGTTGATAAAAATAAATTAAAAAATAAAAAATATATATTTTTAAATATATTTTTATATGAAAAATATTTGAAAAAATAATCATTATATCACTTTCTTTGACTCCCAGGAGAAGCTATGTTTTTCAATTACAATTCATCCACACAAAAGCGAGGCTAGATCTTGAAGGAGAGAGATGGACATAAGCTTCTTTAACAAACTACATTAGAATAGGATTGTTGGTTATGGTTTAAGTAACAAGGTGTAATAATAATTAATTACAGTTTAAAATATTTTTATTTAAAAATTAATATATTAAGATAATATATATTTTTTAAAAAATTATTTTTAATATTAACACATCAAAACAATCTATAAATATAAAATAATATTTTTTAATAAAAAAATTTAAATCCAAAAAACACCAACCTTCCTAAACAAACTTTTTATATCTTGTTTAATTTACTTTTTAAGTTGTTATCTTAATTATATATGTAATATTTTTTAGTGTTGTTATACCGTATTTTGTGATAACATTAGTTAAGGAAACACGAAAATTCCTAAACAAACCTTTTATATCTTATTTAATTTACTTTTTAAGTTGTTATCCTAATTATATATGTGATATTTGTTATACCGTATTTTGTGATAACATTAGAATTATATTAATAATTTTTTTTTTATTAAATGTGGTGGTCCCACTATCACACGGTGTGAGACCATACACAACATATCCAACTAGCTTTTCTTTTATCTCTTTTTAAAGTATAAAGAAGAAGAAGAGATTTCTTAAGTACCTACGATGCCAGTAGCAACGTGGAATTCCTTTTTATGGTAAAGTTGGGGAGAACAATGAACTTGGCATGAAGGTTGAACCTAACCTCGATCACTTGACTTGCAAACCGGCCACCATGCATCTTATCTTTTACACTTTTTTTATGTTTTTTTATTTTTTCTTTGAACAGATCTTTTAGACCTCTAGGCTTTAAGTTCTTCTAGATCTTTTAAATGATAACTTTATTGTTAAATAATTAAATTGAAAGACTATCACAGAACTCTCACAAATGTGGCCTTACATGGCTTATCTTCACGGGGAAAAAAATAATCTTATAATTAATTACTTTTTTAACAATCCGAAATCAGACGTTTGCTCTGCACAGGAAAAAACAAATACCAATCACACAAACACCCCTTAATTTCTTCTTAGCCCGCCATTGAATTTGTGTAGAGAGTTTAAATTTCCTGTTTTGTGCACTTCAATTTGGATTGATTGCATTTGATCAGGCAAGATGTGGTCCAGTTGGTTTCCATAGTTTTTATAATTTTAAAAAATATTTATATAGAAAGTTTTATGATAATTTTAATAGAATTCAACTAGCACTATGATCTATAAACAAAATAAAAAAATAAAATAACTAAAAGAAATAAAAAAAATCATGAACAGGGACTTATTGATCTAATCTGTACATGAAAACAACCCTGAATGATTGTACTACTTAACCTTTTATTGGACCGAATTCATAGAACACACTGGAATAATTTCAGTCCACCCAATATTCCAAATAAAAATTATATTTATTTTTTTTTATAAAAAAAACTGGTTTAAAAGTTGATTTAACTAATCTAAATTTTGTCTTGGAATTTAATTTTTTGTACATTCCCAAGTAAAATCTATCCTGATTGAGGACTAAGTTTAATTTGGGATATAAGGTATGTTGTAAATTAATTATTAAGAAATAAAAAAAATATTGTTATCAGTTAGGAAAAATTATACATATTTAAACAATTTTTGGGGTAGCTGATCAGAATTGAAAGATAGAATTCATATTAACTAATTCATAAAAATAAGGGGGCAAATCTAAATTTTTTTGAAAGTTGGGAGGTATTTTTATTTAGTTAATATATTTTGAAGTAAACTATATTTTTTAAAACATCTCATAAAAAAAATTTAAAATAAGTACATTAAATTTTTTAAAAACATTACTAATTTTATCATGTTAAGAAACCATCTTAACCCAATAATTTAATCTATTAAATAAAATTTTAAAATATAGAATATAATTTTTATTATTCTGTAATACATTCTATTAAATAAAATTATTTTAAACTTAAAACTTGCATAGTTCTAAATTAATTTGTGTTTAATTTTTTATTAAATAAATTAAAATAATAATATTTAAATTTATAACTATTTATTATTAAAACTTTAATATGATATTAAAAAAATATTTTAATATAATAATTTAAACCAGTAAATAATATCATGCTATCAGAATGACTGATCAGACAATGTTCACGGGATCCCACCCGGATAGATAGGCATCAATTGCTTTTAGCTATAAAAAAGGCCAAGGCATGCTAGGAAATGCCCTCTCAAGCGTGACGTGGTCCTGTAATCGAATTGAAATCAGCAAATTCATAAAACCATACGAAGAATTACAGTTTCTTCACAACTTTCATGCATATTTTCTTCACCTTTTATCCAGTCTTTGAACTCCGGCCAACATTTGGCTTCTTGCCAAGGAAGAGAGAATGGTAGTGGGGTTGTTGAATGTCCCCCGTTATTGTTTAAAAATATTTTTTAAATAATTAAATATTTTTATTTTTTTAATTTTAAATTAATATTTTTTTGTATTTTTATTATACAGATATGAATGCATTATATTAATTTTTGTAAATATAAAACACATATTTTTAATATATTTTTAAATAAAAAATATTTTAAAAAGTAATAATACAGGCTCCCAAATAATATTTATTGCAACTTGCTGACAACATGCAAACCATGATCCCAAAGAAAGCAGGTTGGCATGCTTGCATAGCTCCACTCTTTCATGTTATTTTATATTAGCAAGTGGTTATGGCTTCCAGAACAATCATTCAATACTGTTATTTTTATTTTTATTTTCACATAAAAGTGGATTTATCAATAACTTTCATAGTGTGTTCTTTGTTTACATGAGAGTGTTTTATATATATATGATTATTTATTATTGCTTCTATGATTTATTTATTAGAAAGAACGAAGAAAAAAAAGAAGAGAAAGAAGACTGTTTTCCATGAGAAGCAATAATATTATGGTAGCATTTGGAAACACAAATCAAATTCTATTTGGAATAAAAAGATGATTTTTTTAATATTTTTAAAATGTTCTGATATGTTTGATGTTAAAAATAAATTTTAAAACTTAAATAAAGAATATTATTTTAACATATTCTTAAATAACTTTTTTTTTTTAAAATAATTATTATTATGACATCAAACATTATCTTTCTTCCCGTACTATTATTTAGGTGAATTTAATATATATTAGTCCTTCGAGCATATACACACTTTCTTGATTGGGTGATTCAATTACCAATCTTATAAATTAGGTCCACCATCTATGTCCATTTCCTCAATCAAAAGCTCCTGTGAAAATAATTTTAGACCTTGCCAATTGTTACATACGTTAGTCGCATTTTTTTATAACTGACCCCGATTTTCCCAAGTTTTTAGTAAAATAAAAATAAATTCAATTGCTGATTTCAATTTAAAACTGGAGAGGTAAAATTAATACACATTCGAACAAAATTTATACTTTAATTACACATGTTGAATGGATATAAAATATTTTTGTATTTATACTTTAATCTAAAAAAATTAGTGTTTAAAAGCATAATATCCTTTTTTTTTTCGTGTGTTTCACTTTAAAAAAATAATCGATTTTGTATTTTTTTAATATTTTGTATTATTTTGATCTGTTAATATAAAAATTAAAAAAACAAGTCTTCAATGGTCAAAACCGTCATTGTAATTCCCAACATCTCTCCCACGCCACGTAGTTTGACTTTAAAGGAAACCCATTAGGCCTAGTGGTGGTCACATACTCACATTACACGCTAAATACCTAACCACCTAAAAAAATCATTATCAATATTCAATGAACAAAACAACAATGGACTGTCACCGCACACAATCTCTCTCACTTTTTAAAAATAATCTTTCTGTTTTTATTTATTTATTTAAAAAGATATTATTATTATATAGGAATCTTGTCTAGTGGAGTAAGATGGGCCCAGAGCTTAGGTTGGGCTTTTAAGTGAAAACTATATAAAATAGAAGATTGTCGGTGGATTGATGGACTTTCTTGGCATCCTGCTAAGCTAAAACTAAAAGAAACAGCCAAACCGGGCGAGCGAGTGAAAGGTTATCCTTCCTTCCTTCAAATCCAAATACTAACCCTCTTCTCTTCTCCTCCTAATCTTATCTTTGAACGGATCATATTTCCTTTTCAGGCAAAGAGAGAGAGATAGACGACACAAACTATATTGATAATCATCTGATAAAAAGAATGAACGGTGGTGATGCGTACAGCGCAGCAGAGGCTCAATACATACGGAGACACCATCAACACGAGCCTACGGAGAACCAGTGCACTTCTGCTCTTGTTAAGCACATCAAAGCTCCTGCTCCCCTTGTGAGTTTATTTTTGATACCCTGTTTTGGACGTTGATTGGTTGATTTTGTGCTCGTTGATTTCTTTGACCTCTTTTTTAAGGTTTTTAACTTCCTTGTTTTGTGTCAAATTTGGTAATTTTTACTCGATTTTGGCTGGTTTTGCTTCATTTCTGCCTTTTCTCGTAATGAGGTTCTCTGCTATTTGTTTTCTCGTTCATTTTTAATAAACCAATATAAAGAATTGGGGCTTTATTTTTATTTCTTTTCGATATCTTGTTGTGTGTGCTCTGCATGCACAAACGGATTCTTATCGATAGAAAATCTGGTTCGATTTTGTTTGATGAATATATTTGGATTATTTGGATCAGGTTTGGTCACTGGTGAGGCGATTTGATCAGCCACAGAGGTATAAGCCATTTGTGAGCAGGTGCGTTATGAATGGAGAGCTTGGGATTGGAAGTGTTAGGGAGGTGAATGTTAAATCTGGACTTCCTGCAACTACTAGTACCGAGAGGCTTGAACTTCTTGATGATGAAGAGCACATCCTTGGGGTCAAGATTGTTGGTGGTGATCATAGGCTCAAGGTATAAATAAATTTATCTTTCTTCTTGACCTTCTATTATAAGCTGTTGGGGTTTGGGTCGTGTTGTTTCTTGTGTTATGGATTTTAGTACCTTCAACTGTATTTATGTGCATTTACGCGTGCATATAATAAATAGATACGCGGTTATCACAAGTTTATGGCATGTTAAATGCTGTGTTTTGAATGGATCGAAACGTGTGATAAGCTGCTGAAAAGTGGATAGATTTCAATAAAATCATCTCTACATCTCTGTGTGTATTGCTGTTTTTTTCCATTTGTGATGAAGAGATTTACTGTTTTGATTCTTAATAGCATTTCCCCAAGGGGAATTTGCTGTGTATTCCTTTTTTATGAAAATTGGAATTTTGTTTCCAAGTATTGGTCATGGAACGTAGCACCTAGTTCCAAGAAACGTGGATAGCACGAGATACTATCTTCTGTTGATGTGGTAAGTTTGCTGCAATTGTATTGTATCCCCCCACCATTTCTGCTCTTTCAATCACATTAGATTTGTGTGGCCAAAGGGACCACTTTTGGTGGTTCAGGTATGTTCTAGTGCTCTCTCCTTCAACATTTTGCTTGGTAGGTAACTTTATTTTAGGGCCATGATATCACATGTCACTTGGAGTCACATATAGCGGTTGTGTATCACAGTAGCACGTGGGAGCTAGAGTTTTTTGCCTCCTTTTTATCCCTTTACTGTGTAGTGTCCAAATTATATATGTGAATTGGTCTCTCTCAATATGTTTGGAGGAAGAGAAATTGGAATCTTATTTTGTTGAACGATGCTGAAAACGAAATAGAGAATGTTTATGGGGATTGTAGCCTTTTCAATTCTGAGGAAATAAAGTTTGCTCCAAATGGACAAGCCACTTTTCCTTGGTGAAATGGAATGAACCTTTATATAACATCCACACATATATATATATATAGTCAAAGTGCGCATATGCACAAGACATTTGGAATCTGCCTCTAACTATGATATTTTGCAGTTTGATACTTGGTTGAATTTTCAGTCTTTGGGTTACTTGTGTCCAGAGTAACCAAAGCATTCTTTTCAGTACTCAGATAAAGATGCCTCTCACTAAAAGCATCCTGGATTCTTCCTTCTTCTGATTCCCCCCTGGTTTATTTTGCAGAACTACTCATCCATCATGACTGTCCACCCTGAGATTATTGATGGGAGGCCTGGGACTTTAGTCATCGAATCATTTATTGTAGATGTGCCTGATGGGAACACCAAGGATGAGACATGCTACTTTGTCAAGGCCCTGATAAGGTGCAATCTCAAATCTCTGGCAGATGTTTCTGAGAGAATGGCTGTGCAGGACCTGGTTGAGCCCATCAATCAATTCTGAGTAGTAAGGTCCTAGAGATGCATGAAGGATGATAAGCTGGAGTTATGCCGTTTGACTCGTCTAGTTTCCCGAAGCATCATATTGATTGGTAGGAGTACTTTTTAGGATGAGAAGTTTTGAATGCAATGGGTGTGCATTTCCACCTCATCGAGATTCGAGGCCCCACCTGTCTGCTGTTCCCTTTGCATTAATCCTCAACATTGATGCGGGAGTTTCCCCAGTATAGTCCCTCGGTTCTTAGTCAAGTTTCCTTAAACATCCAATGAATGGGAAAGAATCAGCTGCTTTCCCGAGTTGTTTTTACTTTATGCATGGTGGTATATAAACACACTACTGGTCCTGTCTGTAAATACTCTTGCAAGACACAGTCGGTTTCTTTTGGATAGGGTTTCATGTTGCAGTTGAAGCTTGCAGGTGTAGGATGTTATAATAGGGACGAACTTATAGTAGTAGTTAGCTGCTGTCTTTTCTGCGTAGATATTTATTTTGCATTCAGTGCACTATTTATTTTACATATTCTCCCCTATAGTTCAACCCATCTGCTCATGGTAAAACTTCTTATGGGTTTGATTTATTTGTCTTCAACGGAAGCCCTTTTGAAAGAAGCCATTCAGGAACAGATGGATGGAACGTTTTCTACTTCAGGAACAGAAATAAAGAAATCCATTTCTCTTAATCTTTATTATAATTATTTTAATAATACTATTAATTAATAATTAATAAGAAATAATAACAATATATATATGGAAAAATGAAAAAATATTCTGGACAAATATTTCGTCCAACCTTTAAAGCAGCATGTCGAAGCATATGGTTTTAAGTTCATGCTATATAAAGAGGTTTTAGTTGTCGTTTTCCTTGCGATGGTATGAGACAAGGTGAAGGTGCTATTTGAGATATTTTGGCTTAGGATGCATTTTATTTGGTAGTTTGATCTGAAGTTAGCTCCTAAAGGATATCAAGATTGTTACCTGTTAAGTGTCACTTGAAGCTTTTACTGGAGGAATTGTTCTTGGTTTAGTGAATATCGTTTATTCTGGTATTAGTTACTGGTGGTATAAAATAGCCTTAAAGATCTTTATATTGAAGCTCATTTTCTATTATTTCTTTCCATCTTATTCCTACCAGCGACTTGTTTACACCTATAATTAAAATAAAAACCTAGCGTTACGTGGTTTAAAAATCTCGAATCTTGTCTCAAGTACCTCTATTTGTCAAGATATGATTATAGAGTAAGTTTCTTGGCTTGGACATAACATTTAGTCCATGTCGTTATTCATGGCTTTAAGAGAAATCCGTTTCATGGAATAATTTCTTAGATGCATTACCGTATCCTCAAGGAGTAGACCTGATTTTTACATATCAATGGAATCTTTATACTCAGAATTCCAACTCAAGTAGTCATTTATCTGGTACAGGAGCATGAATTGTTGCTAGCTATAACTATTTTTGCGAGGTTCCACTCACAAACACCAAGTTTATGGTTTCCAATTCAGTGCTTACGATTCAGTAACGATTTGGGGTTATTAATTGAGTTTCAGTTAACAGACAGGGGTTGATCTAGGCTTTGAACGTGGTTTACTATTTTTCTTCATCCAGTGTGTGAAATTTCATTTTCTTTGAGTTATGTGATATTGCAGACATGTCCTCTGACTCAATACTTTTGCTGCATATGACATAAGACCCAGTTGAAACAAAATCCTCATTTTATTTCAAGTTTCAGCAGTGTAAAAATCTCAATAAAGATATGTTATATAGAGGTGATGCTGAAATGGGTTGAATTTCAGCGTTGAAAGCTGAAGTTATAATAATGTAACGAAGCTTATCATTGTTACTGATGCTCAAAATACAACGCCTTTTTTAACGAGTAGATATTGCAAAATCAAGCTAAGGTCGGTTTTATATTGCTGCTTTTAATTAATGATGACCCGTGTACAAGCAACACAAGGAGGTGAACTTTCTGCTTCATAATTGAGACCATGCCCAACACATGGAAACTGTGTAGACTCTCATCAGAGGTTCATTGTGTTTCTGCAGTCCCTTTTTCAGTGATCTGAAGAACTAATGGATCAAAGATTCAAAAAATATAGAGGGGGGTTTTAAACTGTGTAGACTCTCATCAGAGTTTGACACTTTGTTTTGTCATGCTATGTTTGTTGGTATGCAAAACCTGGGAGTTCTTCTTGCTGGAATGTCACTGACTTGATTTATAAAGGCTGGGAGTGTTCAAGCCGTGCATGTACATTCTGTGCTACTCCTTTGCGAATCCTAGAAAATAGTGTTTTCTTGTAGTTGTTAAAGATCATGATATTCTGGCTATTGTCTTCATCTATCACAATTTTTTCATGAGTGTTCCTGAAGGCTTGTTGCTGGATCTGCGAGCCTTCCGGACTTGTTGCTTGTTGATGCACAAGGGATAAGGGACTGTTTCGGCTAGAAAAATTCAGTTGGTGATCTCTTCCTTTCCATTTTCTCTTTAATTTCTGTGGTTAGGACTTCATGCTTGAGCCAGTCTAGTGTACTTTTATTGGATAACATCGTCAGCATTCTAATTTATCTTGAAATAGTCACTCTAGAACTTTAGAGTGAGTGACTTCATCATATTCGAAGCCTCTTCTACTTACATTACAAATATGTAATATGGCAAAGGTGATGTATACCTGTATTTGCAAGATGGTGAAGTGTAACAGAAAAGATACACAAAAACATATTTATGGTTTGCTTATCTGTGGAAGTGGTTCTTCTGACGGATTGTTGCCTGAATCTTCGAGTCCCATGTGAAGGCTTTCCAATGTTCCTTCTTCGAGGGACTTGATCACTTATCGTTTTGCTTTCCTGTAAGAGAGTTTTTTTTTACTGTTGCCTCTTTTATTGCTAGTCCTCTGTGATGTTTCCTCTGCATTTCTTCTGTAAAGAACTTGATCATGCATCTCTGATACACTTTCCATACTTCATTGATGTTATAGAGCCTTACTAGTAGATTTTACACTTTTCAGTCATATTCAAGTGACCAATTGTCAGGTATGAGATCATCTAGGGATTTTCAGTTATCTTATGGTTGTTGAACTTCCAAATTTCTTTTTACAGAACTTCATTGGAACTTTTGGGTTTAGTGGTCCGGAGTTGAATGACCTGAATAACAAGTTTTCTGGGGGTGGGTGGCTGTTTCCCATTACTAGGATTTCAACTTTTTCTATGCTTTTTTCTAATCTTTCATACGGGACCTTCCTTTTAATGTTTTTATCTTTCTTCTGCTGGATGTTTTCATCAGATGTCTCATGAATTTGGAATATACCAGGTGGCCCTTCAACTTCTTCTTTGTCATGATCGAGAACCTGCAAGTTTCACTCCTTAGAAAGTATATTTTGATCTTTGTTGTGTGCTTTTCAGGGTTCTTTCGTGTTTTTATGGAATATATATACTAAAACGAATCAGGGATTTTTTGTTTTAAAATCTATGTCTGTGTTTGTGTTAACTCTCAGAGATGTCAAGGTCATTATATTTTGTCGTTTGGCTTGCTCTTCCATCTATGGAGTTAATGGCAGTATAAGCTTGTCCCTGGACTGAATTCATAACTTACTTTATGCCAGGTTGGCTTGTCTATCTTCTGGTTTCATTTCTGTTTTATGGTTGCAAGTGCTGGGAGACCCAAAAAACTGCATATGTAATTGGTAGGTCCTCGAAGCTTCTTTTGTTCACAGAATTCCTAAACAAGGGGTGAGTGTATTCGATAATCTTCTAACTGGAGCATGTGTCAACTTGAATTTTCTGTCTCTAGAAAGATATGAAAATCTTCTATTTCAGTTTCTCACCTTTCCCTGTACACCTAACAGAAGTGCTGCAGATGTTTGAGGAGTCTGTACCACCTTTCTTTCGTCTCTTCGTTCCCTCTGTCGCTTCATAGGTTCATGGATCTGAACGACATAGTTCAAACAAATCAAGTTAAAGCCAGTGGTTAATTTAGTAATTATTCATTTTATCTCTTTTCTAGTGGTTTCTATTTGTGCATGTCAAGGTCTTACCCTTGAATGTATGGAAAAAGGGAAGAATTGCTGTGAAGGCAATCTGATTTGATCTTCCCCTTGTTTTAAGATACAAACTTACATTCTTCTTCCTGGACTGGTTGCTTGTCTATAGCAAGCTGTGAGCATTTCTGTATGTCTTGGATGGATAGCTTAATGATTTCCTGCATTGGAAGAGCTAAGACTTTCGTGATGGTTCGTCAACTTCTATTTGACCGATTCTGTTGTATGTTTATTTTGGATTTGTGCACAAGTTGATTATGGAGTCCTGTAAAATGAAGTTATCCATCATCTGAAGCATTTAGCAATTTCTGGCATGCGATCAAGCTTTGAACTTTGGTTTTGGCATTAGTTGGTTTTTGGCTGACTTGCTGAGCTTGTAACTGAAGGTTGGTTTTTTCAACTGAGGTTCGGTGTATGTTATGCATCTCTGGCTTTCTTTTGTCACTCATCAAGCAGTTATGTTTTCATGTTTCAATAAAATTAACGTTGTGAGGTTTCAATTTTGGTTCGCACACGCCAGGAATATCATCTTGCATAAGTTTCTTGTAGATGTATTATCTAAAAGAGATGACAAATGGTGGTTTTTTTTGTGGGTTACTTCTTAGCTGGGAATTCTGTTCCCTTTCCGTCTCACATTGTTATTTTTTATTTTTAACACATCGTTATTTTTTATTTTTAAGTGCTATTAGAATCTAATCTTTGGTTATGTGTTTGTCAGACTCTTCTTAAAGCAGAAGATAATGCTTTTATACTGTTTTTGCCACAGGGAGTTTTGCACCATCCTAGCCCTTTGTTTCCATTTGGACGTGTCAACTTGGTAGGCCTTTCTATTATTATGATGTCCCGCCTTGTAGCAGAGTTTTCCTTGGACCAGGTTATCGCACTTAGCTGGAAAGAAGTAATTTCATATTGCTAACGATGGCAGTACAGCTGCTTCATGGTTGCTGTACGCTTTGGTACTAGGTTTGGCTTCTTCTTTTTTTTTTTATGTTTCGTTTCTGAGATTGTTTTCCTATTCTGTGCAATTGATCTTTTTAACATGACCTGTTAGATGATGCTTGCAAGTTCTATTGTTTGTTTCATGTGTTCTCTCTAGGACTCTGGTGAAGGGAGATGCTTCGGCTGTTACGTTTTTGCTAGAGCAATGCTTTAAAGTTTGTTTTGGTTCAGGGATAGGAATTTAGAACAAATTCCATTTCCTGGTTCTATTCGATATGCTTGTCCTTTAAATTCAGTTTTCTTGAATTTTTTATCGTGCGACAGGAAATTATAAGACCTCATGTTGTTTGCCCTTTTTGGGAGACCACAAAGCTGGATTTGCACCTTCTTTTCAACTTCCCCTGCAATTATGGGTCTGTTTGATTGTGTGCATCTTGGTCTTTTCGACAAATAACAGTGTGGCGACCTGTCTCCTTTTTCAAGCAGCTTGCTAGACGAGCAGGTGATATATAATTTGCCTTCGATTCCATTTCGCTGCAGCAACCTGGTGGCAGAGACTTGGGTTATTTCTTTCTTTCAGAGCAGAGATGTCAGGAGAGTGATTCTGTAGATCATAATGGTGATAAATCTTGTTTCAAGATGTGCAATTATGATCGGTGTGCTATTTTTGGTCCTGTTTTTCCAGTGATTCATAAACTTGGTGGTGCCTTTCCTCTTTTGTATTTCTGCGTTTTCTTTTTTTGATTTTGGAAGGTGATGCATGAGGGAGGGTTCCGCAAGCTGCTGTTTGGTTTTGATTCGATCCTATCCTTATCTGTTTTCTCGGTATTTGTCTCCATGTTTTTCTCCCGATGACTTTTGCTTGTTGGGCCAACCTTGGTATATTTTATTGGATAAGTTATTCTCTTTATCCTAATATTAAATGATTTTTTTATGACAAAGCACCTTGTTAAAATAATATCTTAAAATTATTTTTATAGAAGCATATTCAATTTGCTTTTTAGATAGAAAGTAATTTGAAAAGTAACATAAATATTGCATTTGTGCTTGATTCTCTAATTTTTTTTTGTCGTGCGTTCCTGTGTGCTTGCTTCTATTGATTCTTGTTGGTGTTTGTATGCATGCAACTCCGCCAGTGTGGTGTAGGTTCTTGTGCGTACCATAGCTGGTCTCAAGCCCGAGATAAAGCAGGAGAGTATGCTTTTACAGATGATTCTGTGTCTAACAATGCTGTCAGGAAAAGAATATATTTAGAACTGGTAGAGCATCTCCAAGCATCTCCAATGGAGAAGCTAAATGGATATTACTATAACTATGAATGGCATAGGCAAAATTTAGAGGTGATGAAGTCATAACCCCCCATTTAATTTAGTTATAATGGCAAATTGCCAGTTACCTCCTAGCTTCACACACTCTAATGGAGAAACCAAACAAAATACTAAAATGCCTCTTCTTTCCCACAAATGCTATTTCTACATATCTCTTTAAAGAGCCAAAACCAACAAAGTGGAACCACTAAAAAAATAGACCAATTAAATGTAGACATGTAGAAAAAAATAGCATTAAATAATATTAAGAAATAATAAAATATTTATTTTTTTTACTCTAGTATAAATGGCTCTTCAAATGACTTTTTTCTATTGGAATAGATATGGTAAAATAAGCTATATTTATATTATTCAAAATGCTATTTTATCAATTTAGCTTTTCAAAATAGCATTTTGGATTGGAGATACTCTTATTATAAATGGCATAGGCAAAATTTAGAGGTGATAAAGTCATAACCCCCATTTAATTTAGTTATAATGGCAAATTGCCAGTTACCTCCTAGCTTCGTGAAGTTGGAATTGGAAAGAGGAGATAGTTCAAGTGGAAAGCATGCAGGAATAGTTTGTAAAGTATGCTTCTCCTCTCTGTTCTCCCATTTGGACTGAAATTGGATAGAGGAAGCATTGTGATTTCCATGCGTTAAAATGAAGATGGCCGCGCATTTGCACTCTTACAGCAGTCGGAAACGAATGAGCATGCCTGTTCTATTTACGCAGTCGATTATTGTTTTGTTTCATCTGGGGTAAGCTCGAACTTGGCATACAATGCGGTCAAACAATTGGCTATTTGCTATCTTATAGCAAGGAGAGAGAGAGAGAGCCCTGAAAATCGCCCTGTTCCAGGTTGTGGGTCGGATTCAGATCTTTTTTATTCTTGTGTGCACAGACAGGCTAGCAGTTGCTTCGTCAGGATTTCAGGATTTGTACTGTTTTACAAGTACTAAACTGATTCCCTTGAGAATCACATCCAAGACAACAAAAAAACAAATCTGGAACTGCTGACATCTTCACGAAAGTTCTCCTATAAACAACTTCTGTGTCCTACCTCAATCTGCTATTGAGGTGGTTGATAAAACTACAAAAAAAAAAATATCCAGCTGTTTGGGCCATGGTTGGTAATTTTAACCTATCTAAACAGATATTAGTCTGTTCAATTTTATTCTAACATATCCTTATATGTATTTTTTTCGGTTCCAATTAGCTATGCACAAATTTTTCATGCATAGAAATCTTTTTTCCCATAATTTTATGCAGATTACTTTTTCTATACAAAGACATGCCATAACACCTAACGGTAGTCACAACGATTAGCCAAGACAACGTGTGTGTGTGTGTGTATTATCTATGATATGTCTCGTTTTTTATGAAGAAAGTTTAAAACATGAGTGTATAAATATACTTAAGTCACCGGAAAATACATAGCTCTCTAGAAAGCCAAGTTATTATCATGCAAGGATGCATACCATGCCAAACAACACAAAAGCCAACGCATTCAGCAAAAGTTAGGTCAGACTTTACTTTTTGTAGCCATTATGTCTAGATATACACTCCTAGCAATTTCATTTTAATTTTTTTTTATATATTATTTTATCTTTCTCAATCTACTGATTTGCATTGAACTGTCCTAGAATAATCTGAGTCTAGGCTAGACAAAGATCTACATTCTCCACCAACCCGAGAATGGAATACCCGTGGAGAACCTAAATTCTGTCTGAAGTATTTAATTTCTCGACTTTTTTGAGAGCCATAAAATAATGATTTTTTTTATTGACTGCGTCCACAACCGCGAAACTGAGAAAGAGCTACTACAGTAGACTTATCCAACGAAAGGTCGGGCCTAGAAGAAGTGGGATTGATACAACAACTGTCGCTAAGGCAAGGGAAGTGCTTCAGCGAAGATTTTTCATAGCATTTTTCTAAAGAATGATTCTCCAAATGTACATAACACACAGCCTATTCTCAAGCACCTGACTTGGAAGAGGGTAAAGAAAAATTAGCTTGGGGCAGTGAGAGGACACACGCATGCTAAATGCTCTATCTACTTCAATTCGTTTGATGGTTCCTGATCAGAACTACTAAAATATTTTCACTTTAACAGGAAATATTAAAATATGTAAAATTAAAACCATTTGTTTGCTTTGTTTTTCTCACATGGATTTGTTTTTCTTCTATATTATGGATGTCTTTTGTTTTCCTTCCTTTGTTTATTATTGTTATTTTCTTTTAGTATTAGGTTGTTTCGAAGACCGCGTTACTTGGCTTGATCACTACCTCGGAGGGCTACTGCTGGACATGGACACCGGTGGATCGATCTGCAGGTTCCACGGCCATTTGTTCCCGCAGCACACCTTTCTTTTGATTCATTCTATCCTTTTTCAAAGAATGCCAGGTTTTGAGATCTGAACAAATAAAAATAAAAACTGTATTTTCGTATGAAATGTTTATTATCAGCGGCTCTCTCGCTTCTAGCACAACGCAAGAAGATAGGTTTCACGGCCAAAGGGAGAGAGGAGAAAAGTCAGTGACAGCAAAACTTGAAATTACAAGAGGCATTTGACTTCCTTGTTCATTCACCAGCCAGCCTACTGCACCTGAGAGCCTGCACACCAACACCACAACACCTCCTATAGCACCACCATCTCCATCCCAAGCAAGGAACAAGCAGTTGCTGGCCCCTAAGCATCGGCGGGTCACATCCCACCTGCTTTTGGGGAGTAAGCTGGCCAACAGTCAATCATACCCGCCAGTAAAAGGAGAGAACAGTTAGGCAGACTAAATAAGGGCTTAACAAAGGATGATCCAGTCGGATAGGCACCGGGATAAGGCTTAGAAGTCGCAAGCTATATGTCACGTCTGAAGGCGTAGCCCAGATTAATTCGCGTCTTAGATTCGCCCTTCGAGGCATGCCTCAGGAAGGGTTTCTGCGTTTATTAAGAAATGTTGTTCGCCTTTATTGTTTTTAAGAGTATCTTTCAGTTTCACTACCTTGAAGAGGACGAAAGCTTTCTTGGGTGCATAGGAGCAAGTCTGCTGTGCGTGGCTCTTTCGAAGAATAACTGTTGGAGAAGCGAAGACATAGATCGTAGTTAACTGCAAGCTAGTTAAGATTGATCCTTGATTAACTGGAAAAATCCAACGTCAATTGGAAAAATCCTTGATCGGTGCTTGAACGACAACCATATATATTTTCTACAATTTAGCAAAGACACTAATTTTCTGTTGATGGTCTTTTCTTGCACGTTTATTTCATATATCAAGAGAAATACAAAAACCAGAAGCTCTTCTCGATATCCCATGGAAGGATCACAAAGACTTTGTTTCCCTTGTAATGCCTTTCTGTTTTGTTGACACGAAATCTTACTAGTTAAGGATTACGGACACCACCTTTCTCCACATTGATATAATATTGTTCTTGAATTATACCCAAAAAGCCTCATACCAATGGAGATATTTGTCCATCCTTATATATCCTTGATCCTCCCCATTTCTAATCAATATGGAACTTTGGTCGCATACCCAACAGTTAATGATTTCCTCTCCATGTTTTCGTTTCTAGAACTAAGATTAATGGATGAAGTGACAAAAATCCTTTCTAGCTACTTCACAACATGAACTATTATTTTATGCTTTCGTGATTTCTATATATCCAGCCACCAAAATGAAACGAGAAACTCCTTATTTTTAACCCAAAAAATCTTGCAAGAGGAGATACCTGCAGGTAGGATTAATTACCAGCAAAGAATTTACAGATGATATTTGTTTTTTCTTGTCTGCCAAAATCATGACAGCTTTTGATCACTACTCTCACCAAAGACCTCTACCCTGCAGCGAGAATATGATGACATGCACGTACCTGCTTACTGCGTTGCCCCGAGGAAGAGCGAGCAAGGATTGCCATCCTAAGACTACGGAGAACCTTTGTAAGCAAGACAGAACCTGTTTAACCCCCCCAAAAGAGCCCCCAGCCTGCCTCGATACTTGATAGTACATGTTTTGTCTTAAAACACAGAACCATCATTACCAGATCGGGCAAACAGGAAGCCCTTGAGGGGGAGTGAACAGCCAGTGCCTTGAAGATCTGCTCATGGAGAGAAGCTATGCTTTCTTTTGTCCTGAATTAATGAAAAAGGAGCAGACCCTCCTTATATAGACTCAAAAAACCTTACTTGAGAAGCTGAGCCAATTACCTTCTCACAAGCCAGACAAATTGAAGTGTGTGTATGAGACAGCAGAAGAATTTGTGGGGACTCCACTATGTGACACGTGATTTAGTGGCCTTTTGATTCCAAGAGTGGTTTTTTCTCAAACCCACTGGCTGCGAAGAGCCATTTCAGTCCCCCTGAACAGAGAATAAAGTAGCTCTAGGCATCTCAACCATATCTATTATATCATTAAGTCCACGCAAGAACAATTCCTATCATCTCTCTATCCTAGCAGCGAACATATCAAAAGTCATGATTTGTAATAATCTCTGTCGTAATCAGACATTTATATAATAATGTTTTTATGTGAAAGTATAATCCCATTAATCATTTTCTGACTTATCCAAAGAAAAATACAAATAGAAGAGGAAAATTTTAAATAGAGATATTTTTATTATTTTTAATAAATTATAATTTTAATTGTTTTTTGTGTTTATCTCTTTCTTTGAAATAAATCCACTAGACACTTACTTATCACTATAAAATCTTCCTTGCAGTTTGCCAATTTCGTTGATCTCCTAAGCAGAAGACTCTCTACTGTACCAGTTCAATAAAGGGAAAAAAAAGAAGTTATTTAGCGTAAAACTTCCTAAGACTAATAAAATTTCCCCTTGCGTTCCAAAATAGGTTCAAGAGTCTTAACAGTTGCATGGACAAGAAGAAAGAAAACTTTACACCCCGCCACATCTCACTCCAAGCCTTTTCTTTTTCTTGAAAGGTTACCGAACATGTCAACAGTCTGGCACATCTCGCTGCCAGACCTTGCGACCTTAAACTGACTGCAAAGATAAACAATGAAAGAAGGTGATGTAGGAATAAAAACTAATTATGTTTATGCTTATTACATGTAGCCACTAACCCTGTTTTCTATCTTTTATCACCGATATAACCCTAACCCTAACGTACATGGCTATATGCACCTGTAGTATCAATTTTGTAGAACAAGTGATGTGAAATTTTGCAAAACAAGTGACGTGATTTCGACAAAGCATGATAGTGATGCTCAATATAATCTGATAAAATGATGCTGAAGTTATTCTTTTTAGTTGCCTTATTTCGTACACTGATTTAGTATTATCGAATTTTATAAAACACAAAGTCTCTGATAAACAAAAACGACATGAAGAATTTTTCTGGATGTAAAAATGATACAGAATTTGAGATTTGGTGTCCAAGAGCATCCGAATCTAGATGTTCTACTACTCACATACTCCAGCCTGGATAATCTCAACTCATCTTTACACAAGATTGAAAGTTGAAAACCTAGTCACATATACACGACAAAAATGAGGAAGTAAAATAATAGAGTAAAAAAAATTTCTAACAGGAAGAAGTAATTTATTGTGATTTATAAAATGGAATAGGAGGACTTGGTAGCTTTCACTGGGAGGACTTATACCATCTACTACCATTTATGATCTACTGTACTTGATCTGAAAGAGGGAGTTTGGTGATGCCCAAGAGCTGGCAACAGGGTTTGATGACGGTTCTGAATAAATGTATCACTACAATAGAAACTAGTATCTCATTGTGTGGAAGAAACGAGTTTGAACATAGAGTTATTGTCAAGATTATCCATGATGAATACAATAAATTAGTTCATGAATCTGAATATAGAATTATTGTCAAGCCCTGAAATAGATATCCAAATTTGTGGTCTCAATCTGCAAACAAGTCGCAGCTGGCAGGTACTTTAACAAAAGCATCGCCATACATATATACAGCTGATAGAACTTATTGCAGAACGAAAGCTAAATAATATTTCGGAAATGGAAGTTAGAAGCCATCAACCCACCACGTAATTTTGGCTTTGGTCAGCTACATATGAGAACCTCACAGATTTCAGCTATCGATATTCACTATTAGAGGGTGATTCCATGATTAATGAGAAAATCAGCTTAACGATTTAAACAGAAAAATAACATTCCAAAAAGATCTATGTTTACAATTTGAAAAGGCTATTAGGTTAATTATATTAACAGAAGCCATAAACTACTACATATTGAAAACAAGATACAAAGACCTATTATCCATGCAAAAAAGTTTTCTTTTAATGGTTTCAGAAGTTCAGAAGCCATATCTCTAAGTTTTGCACAAGTTTGAAGAGAAGAAGGCACATGCTATTGCTGCATGTCTCCATTTGCAAGGTACTTCCTGAGACTTCAAACTCGAGAACATGGTCCAGACCCATACTTTCGAATAACCTTGTGAAATCCATGTTCTTCATCCAGAAAACGCACACTTACTGTAGCAATTCTATGATGATAGCCTCTTGAAGCAGTGACCCTACACCAGGGCACAGCTAATGATGAATATGGCAGATTTGAATCTCATTCACCAAAGCTCTCTTGGCCGGCCATCAGGAAAAACTGGAGTGAGCACCTTCTCTTTGTCATTTGTTACAGTATCTGTCTGCTTGATTGATTTGCTCAAACGAATTCTCACAGTTCCATCATCATCATCATCTTCAAAATCTGGGGGCATATCATCATCTTCATCACTCCAATCTTCTTCATAATCATCATCTTCATCATCATTGAGCTCATCACCACTAAAGTAACTATCAATATCAGACCAATCTTCAGCCTCCTTAATAATTCCATCTTCATGCCCAGAAGTTCCATCTTCTCCAGCTACAGAATCTGTCTTCGGAGTACCTCTCCGAGGGAATCTAGGAACCATAACTAGAGAACGAAGCTTCTCTTTGATGAGCAATAGCCGGTCCTTCTCTACCAAATGAGAATCACAATATGCTTCCCTAAGGAAAACTGAATCCCTATCCCCTTTCAAAGACACGTAAAACAAATCAGGATGTCTTATTAGCATCCCCCTCAGCTGCTGAGAGAATCTGAATTCCTCTCGAAAATGAGTAAGATGATCAACAAGGATCCGCTTCTCAACTGTGAGACTTAAAATCTCATGAACAACCCCACAAGCATGTTTTTCCTTCTCCTTTGAACCTGATCTCAGATGGGAAAAGTCTGAATAAGGAGATATGTAAGGTATGTCTCTGAACTGGCAAACCCTTCTCATTTCACTCTTGGAAAGCTGTAAGCCCTTAGGCAGCTTCACTCTGTTAAACTTTAGTGGTCTATCAATTATCAAATCTTTCTCTTGCAGCTCTTTGGCTCGATTTTCCTCGTCAGCTAATTCAGCGGCTGATACTGCAAGCTCAGGATCCCAATGAGTTAATTCTAATGCAGGACCCCTTCCAGTTGCAACAACTCTAAAGTATTGTGGATATCTATGACAAATCGTATCCCGAAATTCAAAAGGCAACCCAAAATCAGTCTTCAAATGGGCTATTTTCTCCAACAAAATCCGCTTATCCATAGACATCATCAATAATTTCCTCAACTTCAGAACCAACAGATCCTCCATCTCATTCCTAACCTTCAATTCCTCTAGATACAGCCTTTCAGCCTCGGGCGTCAATCGGAATTGCAATGAATAAACCCCTTCTTCCACAATCTCAAACACAGCAGGGAATTTCTTCAACAAAGCAATAAATCGACGCTTCTTCGTAAGACCCAATTCTCTTCTAAACTTACCCAATTCCCTAAGTAACATAATTCTATTGGGTTGATTAACCAAAATCTTCCTTATCTTCATAACTAATTTCAACTTCTTGTCCCTGTCAATCACATTATCAAAAGGACGCTCCTTTCTCCACTTGACACCAGCAGCTCTGACGGGCTCAAATGGGAGACGGGTTTTTCTGAACTTGCCACTAAAAGACCCGTTTCTCTCTTCAAAAACCAAACCATTACCTAAAAACTTCGAATTTTCTAGTTGAAAAGGTGAAACAGAGAGATTGGTTCTGACAGAAAGTTTGGGTCTTTCGAGGAAATAAGAAGACTTTTGCGAGAGAAAAAGGGGTAAAGAAGTAGATAGCGAAGCAATGGATGAGGAGAACAAGAGCTTAGGCTCCATATTTAAGCTGAGGCAATTTTAGAGGAACAAAATATAACAGAGAGAGCTAAGCGAATAGAAGCAAGATGATAAAAGTTACCTTCTTTAATCAAGACAAGATGGTCGTTCGTAGCGTTTGAGCTGAAAATAGCCGAGGTAGACTCTCTCTCTCTCTCTCTCTCTCTGGGGTTTATCTCCAAAGAGCGAAAGCCCTTTCCTTCTCTTTGATTGCATTCAGATCAGATATATAATAATAATAATAATAATAAAATTATCTATTTCCTCTTAACTGCATGTACCTGTGCAAAAATAGAAGGACAAAAATGTCACTTGGGCCTAACTAGAGCCTATTCTAAAGCCCATGTACATATAAAAAGGCAACTCGTTTCATTTCCAAAAGAGAGTGAAGTTGGGTGGTTGGGTGGTTGTTGACTGGCCATGGCCATGGGCAGCCCCAGCCCCAGCCCCAGTGACTGTGAGTGTCTCAATCAGTACAGTTTGAAGAAGACGGAGTCGTTAAAACCGACGTGAATCACCAAGAATCCTCGACGTAAGTATCTTTCGGTTGCTGTTAATCGCTAACTAATCATTTGCTGCAAATAGTTATTATGTTTAAAATGGAAATGTCGTCGTAGGAAAATACAAAGGTTTCGAAGAATGAAGGCAAATATCCTGTATTGGCCTACATTACAGTCTCCATGGTATATGCTGCGTATATCCCAATGGCATTCCATTTTTCCTTCTTTATTTAGTGAATTAGTTAACCAGAGTGTTATGATGATAACTTTCTAGGAACTCCAAGGGATATGAAATGGCGAAGCTGTTTATCAATAAGTTTACTCATTTATCGCCTGTTTTGTATGATTTGAAGAGCTGTGTATTTTCTGATTTCTGCATTTGCAGCAAATATAAGTTCTTCTTTTTTGTAATTTTTGATTGGTATGTTATAATTCGTTCCTTTTGTTTTGTGTTGCCCAGTCAAAGTGCTGGGTTAGTTCTGGAGGGGAGACATAATGCTGATATAGGATGGATTTCGGAGCTTAGAAGGAATGGAGATGCTCTGGTAATTCCAAACCACTTTGTGTTTCATTTACTCTTCTCTGCTTTTGTAATTGGGAATTGTTTGGATTTTTTTTCCTTAAGAAAATGTAATACAATAGCTATCTGACAATTGATCCAAGTGATGCTATATCAAATCATGTGGAGTTGGGCATCAATAAATTGGACAAGACAGTCACTAGATTATAATAAAGCAAATTCAGAAATGTGGATGAGTATTTTAAACTAACCAGTTCTACATATTGTTCAAATTTAAAAAATAGTTTCAGGTTGTCCAAACACTGATCACTTGAAGTCTATATTTTTTAGGAAATCTTGTGTAAATGAACTGAATTAATTTTCCGTCAGACATCTCTGTAATGTCCATTAAGATATTTCTTTCATACTCATGAAAAGCTCTCAGATCCAATTTCTCACAGTTGTGAATACCCAAAGGTTTAAACTACGAATGGGCAATTTTTACTTGTCTGCGTATGGATCCTCGGGTGTTCAAAATTTTAGTACTTCTGACCATTCTTAGGTCAAGAAAACCATCCATTTGGCTTTACTTTAGTTCTGGTTGCCTGTTGATTCTTCTCTATTTGTAGGGAAATGGAATATGACGGCATTGTGCTTGAGCCCTGGTCAAGGTGGGCAGCTTATGGTGTCTTGCATGATCCTGAAATGAGGAATAAGGTAACTGTTGAATTGTATAAGGCTTCTTTTATAGCTCAATTTTTGTTAGGATCTGATTTTTATTGAAACCTACCAAAATATTGTGTTCTATGTATCATACTCCATGTTAAATTTTTCAGTGCCTTATTTATAAACCAAACTGATGAGGAGAAAACTGTTAGTTCATATCAAGAAAAAAAAAGGAAAAGGAAAGGAAAATTGCTAATTATGATTTTCTTGCACTTGATTTCTAAAACATGTAGTTTTTTCCTGATTTTATGCTTACAATCCAAGTTTTCGCAATCCATTTGCTAGTAGATGAAACCATCAACACTGTGGCGGGATTTTGAGGATTGTGTCTGGGCCTGCAAGCCTAGGCGCTGCAGTTTGTTAAACAACTTGGGCATGCAATGCATTCTGTAAGCTCATCACAGAATGGGAAGCAACATTTACAGTAGGCCTACATTATCTGTCCACCATATTTAGAGAACCTCCAACCTCATGACTTCAGTCCAGAGGATCTTCAGAGCTTGAGTGATGCTGTAGATAGTTTCTCATTAATGAACTATGACTTCTCAAGCCCTCACAACCCAGGTCCAAATGCACCTTTGAAGTGAATCCATTTCACTCTGCAGATACTCACAGGCAACAGGGGTGCTCGTACCCTGGCCCATAAGATATTTCTGGGCATCAATTTTTACGGAAATGATTTCATGCTTTCTGAAGGTACTTTTCATCTTTCTTTCATTTATCCCCTTCGCTTGTTTTTCTCTTTCTTTTGGTGATTCATTCTGGAGATATTCTAGTATGATTTCAATAACTTCGGACAAGACACCAACAAGCACTTGGCTAGCAGCCTAAGCTTTCTTCTCCTTTTATCTTCCCATCTCGGCATCTAGCTTTAAACTACAGAATGGCCCATCCATGTTGTCCAAGATAATAAGAGATTCCAACTCCTGGGAGGGTGAAGGATTCATACACATCTTATTACACAACCCTTACTGGAATGGGTCTGGACAAACCAACAATATTATAGGCTCTGCTGGTTTCCTTAAATTTGCTAGCCATGTTGCCTCCAGTTATTGAAACTGATTCTTGTTAATGTGTGGTGTATCTTGTGTTTAGAAAGACAAGGGGTGGAGTCACCAAAACAAACACTTAAATTATCTATCTATCTATCTATGTAGATAGATAAGCTAAATAAGCTAAGTTAGCTTTGTTTCCTTTCACTACGAATACCACACCATACATGGAACATGCTTATATGAAACTCATTTTATGGGAGTCACAAATGGCCATTTTCCCAAGTTGGTGGCAAGCAACTGCTGTGTATGAAGATGTGCATAACTCCCAGTCAAAATGCATTCTCATGCTATGCAAGGGAAATTGAACAGCTGGTCCTGATAACACCATAGCTGTCCTTGTATAATACACAGTTGGCTTGAGGAAGCAAATCCAGATTTGCTTTTTTTTCCCCGTGCCAGTTTCTTGCTGTTCTAATGCTCCTGGAAACACTCTTTCTCTCAAAAACTTATGCTGCAACAGTCAATCAGCTATTTGTTTGGCAGAAAATCATGTATTCCATGCATGAAAGAAGCTTGGTGAATTGCTTTATCGCTTGCAAGATAGAAGGTTTTACAAAGACTTTCACATTTATATTGACACGGAGGGCAAAGTGCCTGGTGTATGCACCGAGCCCTAAGGAACTCAATGGAGGAAGTTTATGGAGTTCTACTCGTGACTTGGAATGACAATAGGAGTTGTTGTTGAGGGTAATTCAACGCTGACTTGACACTTGGAAGAAGTGAAATTAAATTTGCTTTCTCAAGCAAGCCAAGAATTATACTAGGCCAGCTGTGGTATTGTTTAAATCCAACCAAGAAGACAAGTTGTTGAACAAAATTTATGCAGCTTCTTCATACCAACTAGACATGCGAAAAAAAGGAAAGTGTTTTACAACCGGCCTTTAACTAGTATAAATAGTTAAACTTGGCTCCATATAGTTATGTTTCAAAATCTGTGCGCTTCACCTTACGAGTGCTTGTGTAAGTGCGTATGTTACAGGTAGCGAGTGAAGAGAAAATTGAGTGAGCTTGTGGGTGCTTTTGAGCAAGTCATGGGCAGCATATTGTGAGAACGTTTTACTTGTTTCTTGGTTGTATGAGGTTCATGTATGGTGTTGAAGTACAAAAAAATTGTGTTTTTTTTTATTTTGTGGTCCACCCCCTCGTATTCCTAAACAGTATGTTGGGATTGTTAAATTTAGTCACAAAACTGCAGGTTCTGAAGGTGGTGGAGCCATCGCTGGAATAGAATACTTCTCTTTACAGGAGAAGCATAAACCTAAATTACAGTGGGAAAAATTACATAGGAAAAGAACAGCGGGGAGCATTTTTTTTCCTCTACATTGATGATGACCCAATCAATCACGCAGTGTTCTCTAGAAGAAGCTCGACTAGGGGAGCAGGTATCTCAATCTGGGAAGCTAGTCAAGGTTTGGATTACTTTTTTGATATTTGGAACTTGTCAATACAATGTAACATGACTCTTATTTTTAGTGGTTCATCTTAACTGTAACAAATTTTGGTTATGTCATCATCAGTGTATAGAGTTCTTTCTGAATAGAAAGGAGGTATAATTTTCATCATCGATATTGGAATTTCAAAGCACAAAGATTGGCTAGCAGCAGAAACGGTGTTCTTTTATAAGGCTAAAAGCCTGTGGTTATTTTTAAATTATTTTTTATTTAAAAATATATTAAAATAATATATTTTTTATTTTTTAAAAAATATTTTTAACATTAATATATTAAAATGATCTAAAAATAATAAATAATTATTAATTTAAAATAATAAATAATAAATTTTGTAATTTTTTAAAAATTGTTTTTAAAACACAAAAATAAACAAGAATTAAAAGTCAGGATATCCAGCTCTCTTTCTTGGAAAGTTTATATATAGAGAGATTTGAAGCAGTTGCTACTGCCTTTTAATAAGAATCTCATATTTTAATATTGTCAATATGTGAATTGAGTTATTACCACACATTGGACGAAATATTACTACATTTTAAGCACCACCATTTTATTAGAACTTCTTTTTTAATCTATTGTAATCCCACCACATCCATAAATTTATGTTTTAAAAACAGCCTTGAAGCTTCGAAAACATGGCTGTAACGTATTAACTAATATTGTTACCAATTTCTTAGCCGAGCCTAATCCTTCGGTCCATGTTTATGTCAAAAACTTACCTCTTTATGACTGTAGACTGTAGCGCTGTACTGTAGGAAAAGTTCAGTACAATATATGTAGCTTCCATAAACTTCCTCTTTAATATCAGCCACAAAATCTCTTTCTATGAAAGTCATCAGGCCAAATGATCACCAACTCCTCATCTCACTTCCACGTGTCAGGAAATGAGTGGCAAAGATATCCATTCCCCATGCCACTCCAGCAGCTCCCCCCCACTCAAAGCGCACCAGCAGCAACTCGCATTCACTGAAGACAGGCTTTCCATCCGCTGCTTTACTTTCCATCCAATCATCCTAAAACAAACAATATCAGTATAGAACTCCACTCTTATGGTGGTTCAAGCTTCTGCATCAGTTCGGTGAGAGAACATCATTTGTCCGTGACGGAGAACTATGCCATGAAGGCCCTCAATGCTTCAAGCTTGACACCATTACCTGTTCTTTGTGAGAGAAGAGCAGAAACCAGAAAATCTTTATCGCTCCCTACAGTTTCACCACTCAAATTCTCTCATTATGACTCTTTAAGCGCGAGCCGGTCAGCTGCACAAGAATGTCTATCAAGGACTTTACATGGTGGCGTAGTGCTACTATCTTCAGTTCTTAGTACAGGGCTGGCTAGAGCTTTAACATATGAAGAAGCACTAGAAAAACCTGCGAGTCCCTTCTTATCTGATTTTGATGTTAATGGGATCCTAGATAGTGTCATCAAATTTGGATCGGAAAACCCAACAATTATAGCAGGTGGTGTTACAGTTTTGGCAGTTCCTCTGATTCTGTCTCTGTTGCTAAACAAGCCTAAGTCATGGGGTGTTGAGTCTGCAAAAAAGGCTTATGCAGCATTGGGTGATGACGCAAAGGCTCAGTTACTTGATATAAGAGCAACAGTGGAGTTTCGACAAGTGGGCAGTCCTGATATCAGCGGTTTGAGCAAGAAGCCAGCGTCAATTGTTTATAAAAGTGAAGATAAGCCAGGTTTCTTGAAGAAGCTGTCTTTGAAGTTTAAGGAACCAGAGAACACCACATTGTTCATTCTAGACAAGTAAGATAGTGAATCCAATTATTATATTTTTCATGAAGATTTCATCTCTTATTTTCATTAATATCAGGGTTATCAGCTAAGATAACAGAAAAATGTTTGATATAGAAAACCTAAATGGGGCAATTAATCGTGATTCTATGCAATTTATCTCTGCACGGGCTGGTTTTAGATTCTATATCCTTAGCCTGTTGAAAATCAATTAAAGAACTAGATATCCTCAGCTGTGTCCATTTTCTTAATGAATTCAAAGGACTGACTGAGATCGAGAACCTTGTTTTAGTGACTGCTTTAAATTGGCTAACTGGCATCTGTGAAAGTTCCATTTGCAATTTCAAACATGCTATAGTAACAAGTACATCATCTTTGATTGGGTTTGGCACAAATGTTAATCTTCATTTGGAGTTGTATCTTTGCCGTTTGGAGCTGGAAGAACAGTCAAAATAGCTAATAGATGGTGCTCGCTGCATCATATACCATACGGAACCGCCCAGGCTTGATGACTCAGATGTAGAAATCATTCATAAAGTTAAAATCTTATATATTATAGCCCTTATCAAGGACCCACAACTCATTGAATTACAGGGACATGCTGTTTACTACAGAATCTAATTAGGAAAAATAAGTAAATTAGTATCACTACCTTTTACAATTTCTTAACCCTCCAATAGCCCTTTTCTCCTTTGTGCCTTCGCGGTGCCATTTCTGAAACGATAATAATTAGAGTTCTAATTCGTTCTTTGTTATCCAAAGCTAAAATTTGAAGCTAACGTTGCTAAATTTACATTGAAAGCCAGATTTGATGGCAACTCTGAATTGGTTGCGGAGTTGGTCGCTGTAAATGGATTCAAAGCAGCTTATGCAATCAAAGATGGAGCAGAGGGACCCCGTGGATGGATGGTATTTGCTTCTTCTTTTTTTCCTTTCACTTTTAGTTCGTTTTCAATCGTTTTCTTACCTTATGGAACATAAATACAAACTTTGAAAAATGTATTTTGCAGAATAGTGGGCTTCCCTGGATACCACCAAAGAAAGCATTGAGTCTTGATCTTAGCGATCTATTAGACACTATCAGTGGTGCATTTGGAGTATGTTTCCATCTTCTTCTTTTTCCTTTTAATCGAAAATCTAACTTCATATACAATCTAAGGAACCTTACTAATGGAATGCTTATCCCTTCTTGTTTCATATAACTTTGAACCATTGATATTTATTGTAGGTTTCGTGATGAACCAATTATTTCATCCCTCACACTGATCTAGTAGGGGGACGATTTATGTGCGGGTCACAGCTTTCATTTCTATTCTTGGTTTGAGTCTCAGAATTATGGCACTTAAGGATTGCTATTACTGAGTTCTTATATATAAATTCGTAGAGCTGTGGCCATATATTTATGATTTTATAAACAAGCACTTCAGCATGGTAATCTCAATTATTATTTTGCAGGAGGGCTCTGGTGCCTTGCCTGTCACCTTTGCACTTTCAGCAGCTGCTGGCTTAGGTGTACTGGCATTCTCAGAGGTTGGGTTGTGAAGCTTTTCTGTATTATTTTTATTCTTTGTCTTTATTTATAATTCCTTTCATTTTATTTTCACTAAAAGGGATTTTGTTGTGAGAGATGCGAGATTGACTGTTACATTGTATTTTCCAGATGGAAACAATACTCCAAGTATTAGGCTCAGCTGCTCTAATTCAGTTTGCGAGTAAGAAACTCCTGTTTGCTGAGGCAAGTCTCTGTTACAATTCTAGATAAAATTCTATTTTATTTAATTTCGTGATTGGAGATATGATTTCATTCTGTTGCATGGGCTCCTGGTTAGGTGAAGTTTTGATGGACCTTTCTGCCTGCAAACAAGAGTTGAAAGGGGAATAATACTTTCTTAATCATCAAAAAAATAAAAAATAAAAAATAAACGCTTGCTTCGAAATTTAAAACATAATGTGTGCAGAAGCAAGCTCTGTGCCCTAAACAGTTAAAGACATGCTACCACACATGTCGTTATAATACGTTCTGCTATAAAATTGAAAACATATTCTGATTCTGAAAAACCACTCAGACTGGGCCTTCCCTTGTTTAAGTGTGATGGTATTTCAATGTCCTCGTGTGAGTGTGACCCAGCATCCAGACTAGGAACTTCCATAACTTAGGCCATAACACTCAGGTCCTTAAACTGGAAACTTGAAGGTTCACTTTCAAATTTTATTCTTTGCTTCCAATGTCAGGACCGTAAGCAAACTCTGGAACAAGTTGATGAATTCTTGACCACCAAGATTGCACCTAAAGAGTTAGGGGATGAATTGAAGGTAACATTTCGTGTATGTTTGTATTCTACAATGGCGGAGCTAAGCCAGTTGTATCCTTCTAAAAATTATGGAATTGTTTAGCGATGGAAGGAAAAAAATTTTCTCAATTACCTGGTGAATTCAGGATATAGGGAGGGCTCTTCTACCAGTACCGGTGACTATCAAAGCCCTTCCTGCACCCACAGAAGCAAGTCCAGAACCTGCTGTTGCTGATAGTGCTGTACAGAAAGCAGAAGCTGCTTCCCAGATAAATTCAGTACCCATAACAGAAGCTAAAGCTGAATCAGTTTCTGGATTTTCAAGGCCACTTTCTCCGTATCCTTATGTAATTCTCACTCTCATCACTCTTGTTTATTTCCAGCATGATTTTTCTTCCAGATTACAGCACACAAGGTGGTTGCATATGGTATAAAGTTTTCTACTAATCTAAGCGCTGAACATATGACTGCCTTTCTTGCATTGCAGTATCCGGATCTCAAGCCTCCAACATCACCAACCCCATCTAAACCATGAGTCCAAATCTTAATGTCTTGTTCTGCAACAGGAAGCTGTTTTTTACCGGGAATATCTGGAGTTACTTTGCGAGCTGTGCAAGCCATGCTCCTCGTACATAACATGTTCGAGTCTGCTAGACGATTTGAATTGAAGAAAAAAACTAGGTTTGATGAACCATAATAATAAAAAAAGGTGGGGTAAAGGAAAGAAAATCAGGCATGTAATGGATGGCTGCTTCGTGATATGCTGCTACAGCCAACCTGATCTGATAGTGTCTCTGTTCTAACTGTTTTGAGTAATGGCTGTCTTATTAGAAAGTTATTTTTCTTTAAATTCACTTTCCAAAACACATTCAACCAACCATTGTTTTGTATTTATGGGATTCACGAGCTAGCACTTGATGACCATTATTGTATAAGATTAGCATTGCTCAATTATTTTTCTTTTGATTGCTAGGCAGTTTTCTTTTTTGGTTGCGCTTGTGTTCAAGGTCCAATTTGAGTGACCTTGCAGACAGCAAAGCTTTTTTTTTAAAAAAAAAACAATAGCAAGAGCAAGTTC